CACTCTAGCCAGTGATTCAACCAGAAGAACCCAAAATGCTACACACACTCGCACACTTTCGGCCCTGGACAGAAAATTCCTTACTTTTCACTAGGCCGAAAAAGCACTTTCCACCGCTGGAAACTCGCCAATTTCACTTCACCGCACTTTCGCCGAATCGCGCCAATACGATTACGCTTGTTTCAATAGTCGCGAATGCAATTTTGTACAATTTTTCAGCGAAAAACTGGACCTAAACCAGGAGCGCCGTGAAAGAACATCACCTATTCCGTAAGAGGAGTCGCCATTTGTGTTTGGAGGACAGAGAGAGTGAAAGCGAGACAGAGCGAGACCGCGGAGCAAAGATGTTTTCTTTTCTGGCGTCCAGATTTTTCATGCGGGGAACTCTCAGCTTTGGCTGGAAAAATACGCGAGAGCGAAAAGGATGGCAGACATAATCTGAAATGGGTGACAGCTCACCATTAGGGTTTTGCGCATTTTACCGCCCATCTTTTACCGATCCAACTATTCCTATAAATTCAGGGACACATTCAGGGTGAAATTTTAATATTACGATTGGGTTCTTTAAGAGTATTGAAGTAAATGTATATTCGGAATCTGGATTAAAAATGGTACTGAAATCCAAAATTTTCAGAACTGGAACTATTTTGAATAAGTGCGAATACAGTATTTGCTACTGTAAGGGGCGCTAATATGATGATTTTTGCTGCTGTATTCGCACTTATTCAAAATAGTTCCAGTGTACCAAAATTGATAAAATTTTGGATGTGGGACTTTGTATGGGAACAAGCTGTCAATTTGTTAGTTTAGTGACAAACAGTGAAGATATTGTTTTACTTTAAATCTTCATTAAAAATCATAATTAATGTAATTAATGGGTTCAAAAAATCTCGTTTTGTTCGGAAAACAAAGCTTTTTCAGATGATGTATAAAATCTAGAGACCTTCAGAGAAAGAGATGAAGAGAGAGCATGTTTTGAACCAAATGAACTGTCAAAATCGGAGCCAATCCAAAATTCTCATTACATTTTTTACGAGGATCATATTTGAGAGTATTGTAAAGAAACAGAAATTCAAGCTCTTTTAATTTTCGTATGCTTCTCAAATTCAACTAATTTAAAGATTCAAAAATGATATTCGAACTCTTATGATTAATTAATCTTTGTTGGTTAATTAAAGGCACCAAAAAATATGCACTCAATTATTATTTTGCTTGTACACATTAAGATTTGTTTTGCCGAATCTGGGCTTTTTTGCCAAAATTCGCGCACCCGAGTGCTCGGCAAATAAATGTTTGCCTCGATGTTTGCTGATAATCTCTGTTTGCGTTTTGCTGAAAATCTCGGTATGGGCCGCGGTATGGGCAAGCTAATATCTCGGCACAATGAAACTGAAATCTCAATACAAAATGAAGACAATCCCTTATGAACTTTACGGATAATTCAGTTAAATTTAAAAAATTCTAATTAAATAGAGAAGTAAAATTTGAATCAGTCAATATTTATTTATTTGCTAATTATGCATTTTTAAAGACTTCAAATAATCATTAGGGGTCCAGGCAGTGTACATTGGATGTTCTGGATATGATTATTCATACACACAAAGAAAAATCGTTGCTAAAATTAAAAAAAAAAACCATTGGTAGAATTAAAACTTTTAAAATGAATTGTACTTCTGTCAAACGAAAAGCATGGCAGTGTTGAAATTAAAAGTGAATTCAAATCAAACTCTTGAAATGAAAGTGTTGTACAGTTGACATAATAGGTGTCATTTTGAATTGAAGAATCGAATATTTTCAATTTAAAAACAAGTATTTTTACTTTCAATTTTATTGAATATTAAATTAAAAAAAATATTATTAGATACAAAGGGTCAAAACTATATTTATTACATATTTTGAACAATAATACAACAACCGTTTACGTGCGATCCACAAAAATATCTGCCTCAATAGATCGTCCTGGTCCTGAACACCATCACCTCATCCATCATATCCCGTCTGATGCGGTCTAGTCATTCCTCTGCAACTATGAAGCTACCCGTTTCTTTATCTTCTCGATGGACCTTTTGAGCAATGACTCCTCCACCGGTGGATATCCAATGTATGTGATGCGGTTCCAGCTGGGAGAGACATTTATCGTCGATCTTCACGCTACGACAGTGAAATTTGATTTCCTCCAATCACATCTTTTGACCGGTGACCAGATAATCTTAGAAAACCGAGGGAAAAACAGGTAAACGTCTTTATCGTAATCCCGCACAAGGTCATTTCAGCGTTCAGTACCTCGTTGGAATGGCTGTTGATGTGGCTACGGTAGTGTCCGATACCAGCGAAAATTTCGATGATTTCCTGCTACTTGGGTTACAACGATGAATTAAACGATAGGTTGTACCGGTTCAATCTCGGTTTTATTTTTGGAATGATCTTCGCTGTGTTGGTATTGATCCCGATGGTGCCGTAGCACCGAGACAAACACTTTAGGTGACCTGAAAAGTAATCGATTATTTAGTTATTCTACACTATTATCAATTCACGGCGAATGAGAACGACTCAAATTTGAGTTTAGTTCACTCATAATCGCCAAAAGTGCAGGAACTCAGCGATGAGTTAATTTGCCTCATGTTTTTCCAAGATTTTCCAGGGAAAAATTCCCGAATTTGAAAAAAGCAAAGATTGGATCCACTCAGTCTATTGGTACTACTCCGAGACTGAATAAAATTTTCGTCAATTTTCTCATTTTCCGGCAGATTTTTTAGGTTTTCCACAGGAAACCATGGGACAAATTTTACTCATCGCTGAGTTCCTGCACTTTTGGCGATTATGAGTGAACTAAATTAAAATTTGTGTTGCTCTCATTCGCCGTGAATCTTACCTTTAATGAAGTCACCAACGGAAGCAATCTATACAACTTTCATTCTTTGTCAAATTAGTTTTTTTTTCATATTGACTCAAGGAGAGATACTGGAATCCAACTCCCCTCAAGGTTCCTGTCAAGGATCTGGCTGAGAGCGGGGGCTTCCGTTGCATTGGATTCCATCTTCTTTTTTCTATCTACAGGTCCAATTTTTTGAGTTTTCAACGTGAGCGGAAAAAAGAAGATGGAATCCAATTTATCCATATTATGCCCTGTTGGCTTTTTTTTACGATGGTTGTGGATTTGCTGCCAAGAGGTATTTTTGACAGTAAAACAATTTGGTATTGAAAATATGCGCTTTTAAAATTACGAGTCGATAATGAAAGAAACACTTTCAAACCAATTACATTGCTTTCATTTTGAATATTTTCATGGTTAAAACTACGAAATAAGGGAAACTTTCAATTTGAAAACGAATAATTTTTAAATACACTATTTTTGTTTTTTGTGTGGATGCCGCTGAAGTTTGTCGTCATAGCCCTCAACTTTTGCATAGCAGAGGAAGTAAGTTGAGCTAGATGTAATCGAAATGAAATACAAACATATGTATTTTAAATATACCCATGAAAGATTTCGTACAATTTTACCTCTTCTGACTGGAGTATTCCGAGATTTCGGATCCTTTGTTACAAGCACTTCCACTGTTGCTTCCACTGCACACAACACCGAAAATTTTCTAAGGAATAGAAAATAATGGTGGATGAAAGCTAGAATTCTGAATCTCGATAAACAAGTAATGGTAAAACGAAATCTTGGCAAATAAGATTACCAATGCCAGCGAACATATTTTTTGCGTTGGTGCTGGGCATCCAGTGATCCCGAGTTTCAGAAAAATATGAAACAAGCCGAAATTTCTGTTTGCAGTAGTACCAACAATCAATACGAAACTAACGATTTTAAATTGGCTCACCACTTTAGTAGCCTATTGGTCCCAAGCAAACGATTAACGTACCCTATTCTAGTTGAAATTCTATTACTACACTATGTTTGTTTTGATTCGCTATGAAAGTTTGACAGATAACATCAGGGGTGTGTGGATTCATGCAGAACATGCAGGGGTGAGTGAAATAGCTTGGGACTGCTTGGGACCGTTGTTCTGGTACTGAGTGAGCCAAAAATAATAATGATTTTATTCGGGACCCAGTGGTCTTAGAGTTACCTCTATGTTGGAACCGTTGTTCTGGTACTGAGTGAGCCAAAAATAATAATGATTTTCTTTGGGACCGAGTGGTCTTAGAGTTACCTCTATGGTAGTACCAACAATCAATACGAAACTAACGATTTTAAATTGGCTCACTACTTGACTAGCCTATAGCCTCACTCTCATACAAAGTGAAACCGAGGGGTGATTTTTTCAAATGTAATCGTACTTATTTAAAATAGTTCCAGTTTACCAAAATTGATTGAATTTTGGGTTTGGGCTCCATTTTTAATGCAGATTACGAATATGCATTTACCTCAATACTCTTAAAGAACCCAACTACATTTTTTTTTCACACTGTTGAAAAATCGAGTTTTAATTGCCACGACGAATGAGAACGTCCCAAATTTGAGTTTAGTTCACTCATAATCGCCAAAAGTGCAGGAACTCAGCGATGAGTAAATTTGTCTCATGGTTTCCTGTGGAAAACCTAAAAAATCTGCCGGAAAATGAGGAAATTGACGAAAATTTTATTCAGTCTCGGAGTAGTACCAATAGACTGAGTGAATCCCAAACTTTACTTTTTTCGAGTTCGGAAATTTTTCCCTGGAAAATCCAGAGAAAACATGAGATAAATTTTACTCATCGCTGAGTTCCTACACTTTTGGCGATAATGAGTGAACTAAACTCAAATTTGGTACGTTCTCATTCGCCGTGTGGATTTCACTTCGCTTCGATCTTTATGCAGGCCTAGAGTTTTTTTTTCGCATATATGCCAAATGCGTATTATGCCAAATGGGCCGTTTCCCCTGAATTGAAATATTGCTTAGCACTGACGGCCCATTTTCACCCGCAGCTCCCGGTTGTTTTGTTTTGATTTTTACGATTTTTATCCAATCCATTTATCAGCGCACGTCAGCTGGCGGTGGTTAGTACGGAAAAATTGGTTCCTTCAGTTTTTCCGGTGATGTGATTTAATTTTCTCCTCTCATATTAGAGAAACAGTATGAATTATTAGTGTTCTAACCTACGGACCACAAGCTATGAGAATATGGTGAGTGTTTGTTATTGGTTTCAAATTTCCGCTAGCTAACCAGCAATTGAATGAAGCATCGCTTCGGATTTTTTCTACCCGAACATGGGCGGAGTGGAGGAACACATCTTCAATTTGTCCCAGTGCCTGCTGTCCCGCGGCCACAAGGTAATCATCGTAACGCATTCCTACGGCGACCGGACGGGGATCCGCTACATGACCAACGGACTGAAGGTGTACTATGTTCCGATCAAGGTGTTTTACAATCAGGTTATTCTGCCGACGATGATCTGTAACATTCCACTACTTCGGTACATCCTGGTGCGGGAGCAGATCGAAATCGTTCATGGACATTCGGCCTTTAGTACGCTGGCCCACGAAGCCATGAACGTTGGCCAGTTAATCGGCTTGAGGGTAGGCTTTGATGTTTGATTTTATTTTATGAGGAATTTTGGATGTATGTACCAACATGGAATTTCGTTTGCAGTCCGTATTCACCGATCACAGTTTGTTCGGATTCGCGGATTTGTCGGCTGTGGTGACCAATAAGTTCCTCGAGATCTCACTAGCAAATTGTAACCACTGCATATGTGTATCACATACGGGTAGGTTCTTTCAGGTTGACGCATTTGAAAATTGATTGATTAGCTACGATTTTGATTGCAGGTAAAGAGAACACTGTGCTTCGAGCGAACGTCCATCAGGCTAAAGTGTCGGTGATTCCGAACGCAGTTGACACGGCACATTTTACTCCGAATCCGTGTCACCGTCCGTCGGATCCTGATAGAATCAATGTGGTAGTGGTTTCAAGATTAGTTTACCGGAAAGGAGTTGACCTGCTGGCAGGAATTTTACCAAAGCTCAAGAACTGCCCCAATATTCATTTTATCATTGGAGGTGATGGACCAAAGCGGGCACTGCTGGAGGAGATTCGGGAGAAAAACAATATGCAGGATCGTGTGACGATGCTTGGGGGGCTGGAGCATAGTCAAGTGAGGGATGTCCTTACGCAGGGGCATATATTTCTAAACACTTCGCTGACGGAAGCTTACTGTATGGCGATAGTGGAAGCGGCCTCCTGTGGACTTCAAGTGGTTTCGACACGGGTTGGAGGGATTCCTGAAGTGCTACCGGAAAGTTTGATTATACTGACGGAACCTACGGTGGAATCGGTCTACCGTGGATTGATGGTGGCTATCCGAAGGGAGGCCGAAAAGAAACAGATTGGATGCATGTATTTGAACGGAAGCATGGACGGGTCGGTGGGTGGAAGCAGAGATTTGAGGAGAACTGGAGCGTTGTGTCCGTTCGAGAGGAACAACATTGTGGCGAATTTATACAACTGGGACAACGTGACGGCGCGAACGGAGAAAGTCTATCGTAAGGTGCTCCTGGAGAAGGAATCAACTCTTGGGCAAATGATGGTTAAGTGAGTAGATATTAAATATTATTCCACTAAATTTATTTTAATAATAACACAAACGAACAGTACCAAAAGGCTAACGATAAGTCCACTGATTATAAAGCTCCATGTAGATGCGGTGTTGATTTGTTTAGCAACTTCCTTCGGAGCATTGTGGACATTCCATATAATTTCATTTCGGAACTGGCAGGTACAATTTCGATCATAGTCGTACTGAAATAACTCCTGATCTTCCACAACCACCAGCATAGTTTCTTCCCTAGAATATTTCTTATTGATCAAAATCATGCGTCCGAATCCGGAAATGCTTGACTCATTGTACAATCCACATCCTTGGAAAATCAACAGATTAGATGTATCAATGGAATACGAATACACAGCAGGATCCCAACGGAACCCCGAATGGTTGTTGACCGTGGTTTCTAGTATTCCCCGACAGGTGACCGTAATGTTAAAAATCGGTTTCCGATAGGTTAGGTGCACGTCGATGCACGGTCCATCCAGGTGCATTCCGTCATACGAATTGAAAGCGTTGTGCGCTTCGTTGTGGGCCCGTAATGCAAAAATTTGTGCCTTGGCGTAAAAATCACTCACTGTGGACCAAAATCCTCTGTACTGTTTGATGTTACACACTGGAACGAAAAGCATTTGCGAACAATACGGTTCGCAGCAGATCAACAGCAGTAGAGCGATCAAGTTGGGTACCCGTCCCATGTTCGAAACGATACTGTAGGGTGCTGCAGGTAATGCTTGAGGTGATACCTATTCAGGGACATTTTCCACTACCGGTTAAAGTTTGCCGTCTGATGACGCAATTGGATGTGCGAGGCTCACAAAAGTTTTGAAACTACCTTTTAGTAGGTACTCTATGATTCCTGAGTTGTACTTTCGGTGCTAATCGCCTACAACCAGAAAAAGGTTGGTCACTAATTTATAAATTGTGAAAGGTTTTTCGGTTCTTTATGTTAACGTTAAGCTATCACTTCACGGTAGTTCACGAGCTATTCTTGACACAGTTTGTCACTGTTACAACACTCTCTCCCCAGGTAGAGAGATTGCATGTGACAAGATGTGTGTAAGATGAAACACATAGAAGCATAGAAACGTGTTCTTTGAAACAATTCCACAGTTAATATAGAATGAAAGCTTTCTATGCCAACCAATGCATGATTTGGGGTATTTTTAGGCATGTAGAATAATACTCTATTGCCCAGGGAAGTCGAGCAATTTTCCAACCCGAAAAATTGCCTATACCGGACCGGAAATCGAACTCACTGCCTCCGGCTTGGTATTACTTAATTGACTACGACATCTGAGGAGCTGTGTCTGGCTATATTTAATTCGTATTCATGTATGGGTCCTTATTTCAAGAGGCATACACGACGCTCGGAGTAATTTACTACTACGCTTCAGCCTGTAGTAGCTTGTATTGGATTTCATGCTTCGGAAAGCTGCTTCTATCTCATGCAATGATGTAACCTTGGATCTAACGCGAGTAGTGCGCCATATCCTTGGCGGATCGTGGCGATATCTTCCTGGCTCGTCGAAACTAGAAGAAGTTGTTCGAAGTTACCCGAGACCCTTTCTTACGCAAAATAAAAGGAGATTCGAAATGCTGGTCCGACACCAAAAACTGGAAGGACCAGAGAGTACTGTCCAGATTACGCTGCGGCTACACCAGATTCTCACACGATCTCGGATCCCGTGATGGATTCCACAAGCAATGTATGGGGTGCTCAACCAAAATGTCAGTTGAGCATCTCATTATAAATTGCCCTGCACATCAAAACCTCCGAGACCAATACGGTATCGGTCTCAGCATCAGAGACGCACTATCCAATGACCCAGACAGGGAAAGATCACTTCTCGACTTCCTTAAAGAAACAGGATATTATCAATATACGTAGAACCCCGCAACGAACAATGACACGACAACGGACGAACGACGGCACTTGGACAACACCAGCTCTCTAAATGACATGTCAAACGGAAGAACAACGATGACAACCCCGCAGGCTACGGACATTGATCCTCTCTCTCGGAAATTAACCACAACTTCGTTCACCTTCCTTACTGTTAAAACAATCGACACAGAACTCTGAGATACTTAAACTCTGTAACAAACACTATGTAATTTATTTATTTTCTCTATCCGGGAAAAAAATTTCGAAGTTCTTAAGTCAACGTTTTAGCTGCTCAGTGGGGTCGGTAAACAACTGTCCAGTCGCGTCTTTCACAGGCATCATTGGGTTCATCGTTGCTTCATTCAGGCGACGTAATATCGAGAGTTTCTCCAACGGCTTTCGCCACTTCGTCAGCCTGGGAGTCGTTCTTGGATTATCTGGTTCTAGCCCTCTATCACGGTTTTTGTTTCTCTACGCTCCTCGATATTCCGCCAGTTTTCACCAGTGAATCAATTGTTTTCTCTGAGTGCACAGCTCACCGAGCTGCCTCTTTTGTGATCCTGACCAAATAGAAGGTTACTGTCTTCGGCAAACTTGTTCAGTTGGTCAAGGCCTTTTGGTTGGTGGAAAGCAGTTCACAATTATCTCAAAACGCGGCGCTAGTGCGTATGTGATCTAGCTGCATATGATATATCTCGAGATCCTGGCCATTTCTAGGAAGCAGGCTTGCTGAAACACCTCAAACTCACTGGAGGTTTTAAAATACTCTTGTTTTGTGAGTTTAGCCAGCCCTCACCTCGAATGAAGAATGTGTTACCTCGATTATTGTTTTAAATATGGTTAATGTTCATCAACATTAACTCCTCGAGAGAGTGAACTTCAGCGAGAGGATGATTTGACGTGAGGTGCGCTTTTCGAGACTCCAGATAACTTTTTTGTTCGACGCAAGAAGCTCAGAGTTCACCCAGAGTGAGAGTAAGAGCGTGTGATAGAAAACATCAGCAAACCTCATTCTCATTTTATCCAAATAAATAAGCCAAAATTGCACAATTTTTCATTCAATTTGACAGAACCCAGAGAACCAAGATTTTCGGGGTACATTGACATTACACTGGAGCTGTCATCATGTTCCCGGCTTTATTATGTATGTGAGCTTCCTATATACCTAAAATATGTGGTTGAAGACGAAAACCGATGTTCGACGCCGTTTTGGAATCCAAGATGGTGGCCCCCCGTTTTAGTAAAATTGTCATAAAACCCTACAAATGGGTATGTTTGGAAAAAGACGGCGTGTAGAGGTCAAAATAAATATCCGATGCCATTTTGGAATACAAGATGGTGGCCCTTGCTTTTAGAAAAATTGTCAAATATCCAAGAATATACGTATTTTCGGAACTGGGAAGACGTTTAGTTTCTGAAAAGCAATATCAACGCCAACGACAGTTTTTCAGGAACCGTAAGCCGTTCTCTCGGATTCGAAAATGTAATCGAGCGAATTCCACGTCCCTCATTGCATCATTATAAGGAAATTTTTGGAAACTCGAAGGCAACATTTTGGATTCCAAAATAGTGTCGGACATCGATGTTCGGACTCTACACGTCATCCCCGTTTTCAACATTTTCGTATTGCATGGAATCTGACAGTTTTTTGGAAATCTAAAACCGCCATCATGGATTAAAAAATGGTGTTGGACATCGATTTCTGACCTCTATATTAAAGGTTATTTGATAATTTTTCGAAATCGAAAGTCGCCATCTTGGACTCCAAATCAGAGGTGAACCAGCCAAAGGTTGAAAGCTGCTTTAATAAAAAGACTAACTGACGAACTAACTTAAACTGCAAAATAGCGTCGCACATTGATTTCCCGTCTCTACGTCCCCTGTCTGATTATTGTGTTCCGAATCGCTTTCCACCCTTCAGGCAGATCGGTGAGCACCCACATGCTATTCTCGCTGAGGGATGCAATTTCCTCACGCATAGCCGCAATCCAATGATCTCGGTCCGGCCGCCGCAGAACCTCATCGTAGCTCGTCGGATCATCCATCGTATCATCGTCGCTCGTCGTGTTGAAGGATAACTGAGGGTAATGAACACCACCAGAAAAGGAACCGTAACTAATAAAGTCATTATACTTGCCTGGATTACGGCGCTCCCGACCGCTGCGGCTTAACCCTTGCTGCAACTCAGCTGGTCTAATCAGTTGCGGTGGGAGCGCAAAATCGGCACAGGCATCCTCGAATTCGTCTGCCTCACTGGACGAACTGTCGATAACGACGATGTCTTCCTCCGTTGTTTCGGTTTCACCAGGATTGCCACCCGGTTGATCGATAACAACAGCAGGCCCGGCTGCACCAGGTACGACGATGCCATTCGGTTGTTCGCCTAGATGAAGCACAGCGTGTTGACCATCTTCAGGAGTATCAGCTGCACCGGACTCAGGACGATCATGGATTTCATCCGAACAAAGCTCCATGAACTCCACCGACTGCACTCGTTGTTCTGCCATACAGATAGCGACGCCTTCTTCCAGTACCATGACATCTCGGCTAACGTGGAAACGGTCATTCTCTGGATCATACACCCGGTAACCTTTCGTGTCTTCACAATAGCCGACGAAAATGCCTTTCTCGGATTTGGGATCAAACTTCTTCCTTTTCGCTTTCGGTACCAGAGTCATCACGCTCGAGCCAAAAATCTTGAGGTGCTTCAAATTCGGCTTCTTTCCGGTCCACGCCTCTTCCGGCGTTTTCTCTTCCAGGGAACGAGTAGGACATCGATTCACCACGTGAGCCGCGGTCGAAATAGCTTCTGCCCAAAACTCTTTTCCCAGCTTCGCATCGTTGAGCATGCACCGCGCCTTTTCAACCAGCGTGCGGTTCATGCGCTCTACCGCCCCGTTCTGCTCAGGCGTATACGGGCACGTGGTTTGATGTCGAATCCCATCGGACTCCAACACCTTCCGGAAATCTGCATTCACGTACTCCTTTCCGTTGTCTGAACGCAAGATTTTTAGCTTCTTGCCCGTCTGTCTTTCCGCTTTGGCCTTGAACGACTTGAACGCTTCGAGTGCTTGATTTTTCTGCTTCAAGAAGTAAACCACC